TCCATATTTGTGATGAGCAAACTTAGAAAAAATAGAAGTCATATGGATTGGCTCAAAGTACATTCAAGAGAAAATCGTATCCAAGAGAAAAATAAAAAATTGAATCAAACAGAGAAAGTTAAGGTATAAATAATGATCATTAGGCTGTCAATGAGAAAGCTCATAATTTCAAACAGAACCTTGAATAGATAACAAAATAATCATATAGTAATCATATTAACTAAGATGTTTCATACCTGAGAAAAATAAAAATTATAAAGTATTTAGCCTTACCAATTCGCATTCAGTTGAAAATATAGCCAAATACCTGTTTTGAAATTTTCAGAAAAAAATTAAAACATTTATTTAGGAGATGACAGTATTTGGGAAAATCCTTTGAACCATCTGTATATATATACATTGTCAAAACGTTCCTTGAATTTTATGGACATTGCATGACCAGGGGTCTCACCATATATTAAGCGATCCCCGGTAGATTTTCTCTATGTATTTTAAATATCAAACCGGCACTTTGAGCCCTCCATAAACATAGAAGACAAGAAATTTATCCACATTCCTTTTGGTCGCGATTGTATCTTTATATGAACTAACTACCTGCAAAATATTAGGAAAATTGAGAGATCAGGAAGTCTAGACATCTCTCTATGCCCTTTGACCTGATGTTTTGACGATTTATAGCTGAAAAATGACAATTTAAGCCCTATGAAGATATCAAAGATGACATTATTTGAGGAAATCCTTTTGATACTATCTGTATATGTACATTGTCTAAGTCTAGGTTAGTCTATGAAAAGGTATATACTATAAAATTTAGAGCGAGGGGCTTGCCCCGAGCTCTTAATATCATAGTATATACCTTTTCATAGACTATCCAATTTAGCACATATTTACAACTTGAGTAATCTTTTAATTGGTCTTTTGATAGTTTATTTTGGCTGACTACTTCTATCACAGGTGTTTGTAAAACGGATCTCATTAACAATGTTTTGTAATTCTACTCACTAGTATCATTGTAAAATATGTTATTTCAAAAGGCCCTTGACTCCAGAATGAAAAGATGGTAGCTGCTGGTGTAAGTATGTTTATTGATAAAAAGCGGTGTTTTACTATACATATACTTCTTTATATGGTAAGATGACAAAATAAATTGACCAAAAGCAGGCAATAATTAAATTGCAGTGAAAGATTTTCAATTTCACAGTAAAACTAAAGCTATGATAAATTTGAAACCTATAAATGCAGTGGCGAATCCAAGGAGGGGGGGGGGGGGGTCCGGAAAACCCCCTTTTTTGGACGATCAATGCTTTTGAATGGGGACATATGGTTGGAACCCCCTTTTAAAAAATGGATGGATCAGCCCCTGGTATGTCCCTATAGGTAGTCTAGCGGATAGTCATTCAAAAGCAACTATCAATAGATCAAAGATACTAGGGCTTATGTTGTTTTTTTTTTCAAATTAAAAACTAAAATATTTATCAGAACATGTATATATATATATAGGTGGCGCATTCTCTTCAGACAGTATCACGGTTTTTCAATTCATAACATCGTTCTAAACATGCATAAAATATTTGCCACTGGACATTAAGCAACCAATAATCAATCAATCAATCAATTCATCACGAAATAGATCACGTTGCCTTAATTTCCCATCACAAGGTTTCATAGTACAGACTTTTTTGTGTACAAAGTAATCGCATGGATGATAAATTATCACAATTTTAAGATGGCGTTGTACTCTGATCAAGGTTTAAAGAACCATATTTGTTACTCTTTATTTAAAGGAAAGAAACTTGTTAGCGTCGAAAACATTTTTTAGATCCAAAGATTTTAATAGCAGGATATTTAAAAAATCAATGTGAAAACTAATTACAAACTATTTAATTTAATTTGGAATACAGCATTTGATATCAAAATAGCCAGTGGTAATTTTTGTTTTAATATCTTGATTACGATACAATGAAATCTTACCCTTGTGGTCATTCATGCGTAGTTACTTAGTACACGGAAAAAGTATGTACTATGAAAATTAGAAGGCAAATTTAAGTAATTTGATTGGACGAGAAGTCGTAAGAATGTGCTAAAGGAGTTTGGAGAATGCCGTGGAGCAGACATTTCAAAACCAACCTGAAAAATGCAGCTCGATAAAAAGAAACAACAAGAACAAGTTGTACGTTATCAAAAATAATTTAAGTGAATGTGGAATTTGGTGAAAAGGGTAACTTTTGTACATTTAAAATCATATGTGTTTATGTTTTAAAGAGCGAATATAATCATTATAATAATTCTTATGTTTCTCCTTAGTTTATAGTTCCTTGTTCATTTTATTACATTTCCGAACGCCGACACCTATTTTCTTAAATCCACTGAAGATCTTGTAACAATTCCTCCCATGTAACTGCTTGTAACGTATTTTCTTTTTTATTTACTAATCTGTGCTGTCATTTTTATTTTAGATTTTTCGATTGTGAGTATGTCTTGGTTCCTTCTGAATTACATTTAACATTTATTACTGTTTAATATTATTGGAAAATGTTATAATCGTGCAATAGGATAAAAGACAGCTAAGCGAAAACGATTCTTTCATAATTGATGCAATTCATAGTTGTGGAAATTTCCTAATCGGTTTTATAAATGTACAGTACAGAACCATATACAAAAAATTGAAAACAACACGTTAAATAATTATATGCGTCCGAAGCGTCATCTTCATCAAGGCAATTTTTACAACAGAAACGAAAGCTGCGTTTACTTGAAATGTAATGTACAATCATGATCAATATGAAATGGACATAAAGCTTTTTGTGACATTCTGAGTGACAAACCATTCAACTGAAGGGTTCAGAAGCTCTACTAATTACTGTTTTTCAGGACTGAATTGTCATTTTCATTGTGAAAGCAGAATAAGTAGGTACACATCAGATATCGAAGGTATTGCCGGAAAGTACACCTTGAAATAGTTGCTTTTCTTAATTATTTCCAAACCAACCCAAACTGAATAGTTATAAGGGAAGATTACACACTACAATTTGTATACTATCGTAAGTACAAAGAGCTTGATTAATTCAATCTAAAAGTACGGAAGAGTGACACACAAAAGCAGGTCTCCTCATTTATGTCTTTCAATTTATGTTTCAGTAAGATCAGTTATTAAACTACATTTACTTCAGTTTTAGAGTGTATTTTCAAAGACTTTTCGAGTATTGATGTAGTTTTGCTATACTAAGTATCATTATAACAACAAATATAATCGTTTCAATTTGCAAGTACATGTAAGATAAACCTGCATAGTTGGTGTGCTGTTTTGTGATTTTTGTTTTTGTTTTGTTGTTATACGGGTTTATAAGTTCTATGTTTTATATTGTAAAATAAATACCTAATACTTTGTATTTGTGCATAATATTTTCTTAAATCCAATAGTGTTGTTTCCTCCCCAATATTTTTGAGGCGTCATGCAAAAAAGAAGTTTATTTTTATTTTACTTTGATTTTATACTTTTTTATTAATTTCTAGTTTGTATGTAAGAAAGCAATTTTGTTTTTTTGTAATTTACTTTAGATTTACGTTAAATAAAATATTTCAATATTTATTTTGTATACGACATTCAATATTGTTTTAAACGCATTTATTTTATCTCATCTCTAAATAATGGTGAATTAAAATTACTATGAATCAAAAGAGAAGCAGATCCGTCCTATTGACATGGTTTTTTTAAATAACAAATTTTCACTCCACAAGGAATACTGCTACATCAATTGTTGGAAATCAACTAATATAGCCTATTATTAAATCATACGAGCAAATAAGCCCCTCTAAGGATAAATCAGCATGCGCAATACTGATGACGTTACCCTGTCGATATAAATCAAGAGTTAATATTGCTTTTTGGACAGGGTCAATACGGGAGCCAATACGGAAAAAAGCTACTACTTGATTAGAGATGAGTCCGATTACTTTCAACGAAATTGATTACATTACAATTACGTTATCAATTATACGATTAAATTAAAATAATGATTACATCATTTCTGAAAGTAGCTGATTAAATTAATGCTTACGTTGGCAAATAAACATGATTACATCTGATTACAATGATTTTCAAAATAACCGATTTGAATGATGTTAAAATATAAAGATTATAATTGTAACATGTTTTTAGAAAGGATTTTATTCCATAAAATTTTCTGCGTTAGGATATGCCTGTACTAAGTCTCCTAGGAATATGCCAGTTGTTATCCATTCATTTGATGTGTTTGAGCTTTTGACCTTCAATTTTGAAGTTTCCATAGAGTACGGTACTTCGTAATTTTACTTTTTAATATGTTATTAAATGATAACTTAAAAAAACATTGATTTAATATACCACAAAGATTCACAACATATATATATGAACATTTTGTCACTGGTTATGGCCCTTCACACTTTACCAATAAATAATAATTAATCTTTGATTTTTTTTTTACTTCGATTGAATACAGATTGTAAAGAGGCTAAGTTATTGTTTTTCTGACATCTTACAGATTTTAAATGTATTTCTGTTATCAGTTAAAAACATAGTAAATGTACCAACATTTGTTTATTTTAAACAACATTTTTGACACAATTTTTTGTTTGTACTTATTAGATAAAATTTCTTTTATCTTTTATCATTTTGCCCTAATTGCAGAATAAGTAATTGAAATAAAAACATACTTTAATTTTCAATTCAAAGGTGACAATAATCACAATATTATCAAAAGGATTATAATTCAGGTTAGAGTTAAAGAAAAGTATAACATGAACAAAACAGTCATTATCAAATAAACATCTTTTAATTGTGAATATTTGTGTATAATTTTTTTTATTTAGGCAGACAAGTACTTTCAATACTGTCACAGTTTATTTCTAAAGAAGTGAAATAATCTTTTTAGCCGAAACTTATATTACATGTAGCATGAAATATAAACGATAAAAATGTATGTTCAATAAAAGAGTTATTCCTTTAAAAAAATATTTTTATAAAAAAAAACGGGATGTTTAGCCACTTATCATATTCACTTTTAATCTGAATTATAATCAGAAATGTAGATTTTTGAATCCTATAAATTTGGTATAAACATTATGCATATATATATTTTGATTTATCCAATAACTCACGGTTTTCACTGTCCCCAATGACAAATAATAAATCTAATAAATCACACATTGTAATAATAATCCTTATCTTGAGATGTGTTAAAAAGTTTGAAGTTGTCTTCGTTTGTCCAGATATAACAACTGTACAACTTAAAAATGTTCACATCATTTAATGAATTTTTTACATTGTAATCAGCATGTAATCAAAAAGTAATCAGGATTACAAAGCATTTTGAAAAGTTATTGAATAAATTAAATAACATGTACTCAGATTTTTTGCTGATTAATGATTACAATGATTACTTGAAAAATTGCAATGGATTACAGCTGATTAATGATTTCAATTACAATTACCCCAAGTCTGCTTGCAATAGTATATTTTTTTAAAAAGCAAACATGATTTTTGTATTCTTTTAAAAACAAACAATATTCAAGATTCTGCTTTCTCAACGCGTTTATTCTAATTTCGGATAATCAGCGTGATATTGTTTGACAACTGTGAACACTCTGTCCTATTGGAACTAAGCGTTATTCAGTGTCTGTAGTTTAATAGTAATAATGGCAATGAAGAGCGCTTCAGCTCCAAATATAATATTGTGATGTTCTAAGAGTGTTCCAAAAAAGTAAAATAGGAAAAATACCGAACTCCGAGGAAAGTTCTTAACAAAAGGTTCCTAAGTAAATAGCAAAATCAAAAGCTCAAAAACGATAAAATGTTGCACGATTTGTATAAAATAATGGGATCAGATTTTGTGAGTTAATTCTTACCATTCTTCACTTGAACGCACTGTTAGACAATATTACTAAATTCATCAGAATGCATTGTTTGCAATATTTAAAAAAAATATTCTGATATGTAGCAAATTACTACACGTATGTGTAAAAGATCAACGCTTAATAAACGAATGTCTGTTTTAAGTCAATACGTTTCTTGGAATGTGAAGCACATACTTATATTTGTCTTACATAATGTAAATAGCACCAATTTCACTGCTCCAGATGTGCATTTCGACAACGAATGTCTCTTTAGTGGTGCTTGAGGCAATAATACTTGAAAATAGTAAACCCAATTATAATATAAATGAAAAGAACTAATCAACCAAAAGGAGCTGAAATCTTACATACAAATGTAGCTCTCCTGAATTATTATTACAGAACAGCTAATTCATCATTTGTTACAAAAACAAACTAGTTAGAGGAATCATATCCAAGAATCCACTTCCAATATTTTCTTTTGCAATTTCAGATATCTAGTTAAGTAGTTCCACTGGTCATACCGTCAACCCGTCTCTTTAATTTCTTCGAAGTGTGCTCACCTAGAATTCAGAAGGTCGTGCGTTCAAACCACGACTGGGACGAAAAGAAGACTGGTAATTGGTATCTGCTAGTGTTCTGGTATTTAGCAGTAAGAACAAAACTGGTAGGCTCGATCAACACAATGTGTCCAAGTAGGGCAACATGTCTTTCTGTAACAAATTACTTGTGAACAAGCTCACTCAATATCCGACTCAAAGTGTCGGTCTAGTACAACGAATTTTGTTTCTTTCTCTTCTTTGTGATTTTATGATGTGTGCATAGGTTAGGAACTTAAAAAAAATCACATTGCAAAACATATTCTTTAAGTTATTTATTTTCATTATAAGAAAATATATCAAAACATTTCAAATGTTTTTTCCACATGCATCCTTATTTTACGTTTACTACACCTTTCACTAACAGTGGTCCATTTTTATGTAGGTATAATGCTGGCCACACTGTAAAAACCACTTTAGTTCCACTACTTGTATATTCTCGAAAAACGTTCTTGTCGAAAGCTTTCTGTGGTCTTTCTGTGGTCCTTCATCAAGGAACATTGGAGGGTCTTGAACTACTATCTCCCAACATAATTTAAAACATTTGGTAAATAATGATGTCGACATGATCGTCTCAAGAATCTTTTTATCCATGGTCTTAAAGTTAGTTGCTATTATTTCTTTCTTACTTTTGCGAATACTCTGCAATAAATATGTGCTATGAACATTTTACTCAGTACCCTTGAAATAAGGAAAAAAATTGGTAAGAAATCAAGTTCATAACTTGCAGTGCCTCTTACTCTGTTCCAACGAACACGTTTTTTTCTAAATGATGATCTGTTATTTATTGCTCATTAATAATTCCCCGTTTATTCGTTTAATGTTGGAGTATTTGGTTAAAGTAAAGTTGATGACGGATAGATTTGAAAAAAAAATAAACGTTAGACGATGCTCACATGAAAATTTTACCAAACATCAGGACACTCTTATTCTAATAAGTTGGTTCGCAAAATGCGACAGGAATATCAGACAATTTTTACCAAACTAATTCTAAAGTCTGCGTTGTTGTGTTTTTTATTTGAAAATGCCAATCTGAATTCAAATGTAAAAAAACACGGACCTTAATTTAAAACTTGTTAATATCATTAATATGAAGAAAATTTATGTAATGCTTCAAATTATGTCCAAAATCTGAATAAGCGAGGAATATTCGCAAATTGAAGTGAATACACACTGATTTAAGTTGGTCATATCGTGAAATAATAAGATATATATTCAATCTAAAATCTTACATCCAACAGTTGATCCGACGTTGATTCTGCTGCCATTATTCTTATGTCCATTGCTTGTTTTACAATCTAATCAAGGAAAAAATAGACATTAGGAAATTGATGAATCATGATCAATAAAAAAAATGACTGCATATGAAATATACTTTTATCATTCTTAGATACATGGTTTTGTCTTAAAGTGTTATAAACTGGCTGTTTCTGTATTGGCCCTGTAATAGACATTGTTAGACGTAATTTCTTATTTCTCGTCCAAGTAATTGATATTATGCCATAACAATTCATTTTATCTAGCAAATATCAAGTAGCTGGGAAGAATAAATCTGACAGTGTAATCATTCTGCTCTCGAATCGTCTGCTTTCTGATGATTGATCAACGGAAATGAAACAGTAAAAATAATCGGAAGTCGTACTCAAATTGGCTCAGAAATATTTCCGTTTCAAGACGAACATCATTTAAATTTTTTTATGATATAAAGTTCAAAAATATGAAAACAAATTTATTTTATGCATAACGATACGTCCAAAATCAACTGTCATGTAAGCTAAGGCGTACAAAAATTGAAACCGGAGGTGAATTTCCCGTATTAGCCCATGGGTAAATACGACTTTTTTCCTGTGTTTTTGTTAGGGATTTTGTTTTTGTGTTTTGTATCCATCTGATGAGTTAATTTGTTTTGTAACTGATTTTATAGTTTATTCTTATTTTTTACTTTTATAGCTTATTATGCGAAGTAGGTTAAGCTCTCTGTTGAAGGCGATACGATGACCTATAATTGTTAACTTCTATGTCATTTGTTATCTTGCGGAGAGTTGAAAGCAAATCTTCTTTGTTTTTTTATTTGTTCTCGTATTATTATTTCCTTCATACATTGCTAAGTATTATATGATACTGGCATAAATCTATCTTTATATTAATATGTTATTGAGTATAGTTCGAATAACAGAAAAACTGTATTTTTTCAATTTAAAAATAGTGAGAGAGACCTAAGAAAATTCAAATGACATAGTTCGAAGAGAAAATGATAATTCTATTATAAAAAAACGTAAGATAATGCAGAGATAAAACAAATCGACAAAACATTACATATAAAACTAAAGAATGAGCAACACAAATCCCATTAAAACTGGTAGTGATTTCAGATGCATGGACGGTTAACAAACTATGCTACACTAGTCAATATGCATAATGTCCAACCAAGGCATGAAGGCATTTATTAATTAAATTTTCGAAGGGATGATTTCAACTTTATTACTTTGAACTATTTGGTTTTTTAATTACTCCCCTGTAAGCAGCACCTTTTTATCAAGGACATCATGATAGGAAACGCAAGCTCTGTAATGGTTTGAATTGTGCGACATTACTCAATAAAAATGTAATGCCGGAATTCTGCTACAAAGAAGTCATCCCCTTCGTTGTAAAGATTTCTTCTAAAGCGACCTTGTACATTTCAAGATGGCGTCAGGATATATGAGGTAGACATAATGTTATCTGTGACATCTTATTTGTCTCTAGCTCAATGGGATAGATGCTTTCAACATAGCCGCCATTCTTATTGGTTTTTTTTAATAATTTAGTGCAAGGATAATACCCATATTTCGGATTGTGAAGACAGTGATGCGTTTAGCTTTTTATGATTTTTTCTTGAGAATCTACGTTATATAGATACAATAGATAAGCGTGGATTCTTGAAAAAGAAACCATGAGCCCGGAGGGCGAATGGTTTGTTTTTCATGAATCTACGCTTATCCATTGTATCTATAACTTAAACTATTGTGTTAATTTCTTTTCAAAATTAAAGCCTTTTCTTTATTAGAAGGTATTGTAAGTGAGTTTAAACAACCATGTTATCGTGTCCAACGATGCATTGATAAATCTCAGATCACAATTAATTGGTTAACAAAATACAAAAATAAAACTTCTACCTTTAAAGATCTTTATATTACCAGGCATATGAATAATATCTGTTTATACAAAATAAGACATATTCGAAATTATTTCTTATAATATTGAGAATGGAAATGGGGAACGTGTCAAAGAGACAACAACCCGACCAAAAAGCATATATAAAGTATATATAATAAGTATGTTACCGAAATTGTTCTAGCACTAGTACTCTAGGCACATCACCATTTTCTTGCATAGGAATTTGCGAACAAACCTTTGTAAAATTATGTAGTAAAACAGATGAAATCATACTATATTTATAAAACAAAAATTGACAAATAGGATGTAATAATTTTTGTTTTAAACATGTGAAATAGCCAATAATAATAAAAAAAAAACGGTAAAACTCGCTTTTATTACAAAAATATCCACTATAAAATGCAAGGTTAGAAAAAAAACCAGGATAACTTAAGAATTGGAACAACAGAGAGAATACAGGGATTCGAACCTAAACCGACAAATCCCTATCTTTAACTCATTGATTTTAACCATGCTAACCTTGCGGCTACCAACTCATACTATACGACTGCCTATTGTGTCTATATAAAGGTACAAGCCATGTGTGTCCGATGAACCGATGTATATCAGATGTTCATTTATATATATAATATAGACATCTAAAGTGTAACCCATTGGTAGCCGAGAGGTTTCGTCGAAGTGTTGATGTCAGTCACACATAACAGATTTCTAAGAAGGGTTCGATTCCCAGTGAAGGCATATAAAAATTACAAAAATTAAAGGTAAGTTTTTAAATTAATTCCATTAGTGAACAGAAATCAGTAAATTAGCCAATTCATACTTAATGAAATTAGGCACACAAACGATACAATTGAATATAATTTGGTGAGTCAATTTCAGCGGCAGATTTAGGAAGCGTTGATTCTAGAAAAAGAATCCACGGTAAATGAATAGGCTGACGTCACCACAATGGTTTAATGATAAATATTAGGCCATGTGAGGCTAATTGGAAATATAAAATTCCACCCCGAGGCAAACATAAAAAAATCCTGTTTTATGTGAATTGACGTCGATCGTCGTCCACTGACTGTTAAAGCAAAAATGGTTCTTCTTATCTCCTATATCTCATCAAACTCATGTTTTTGAATTGCTAACATGTTAAATTACGAGATTGTTGACCTTTATAACTGTGCTTCGTTCACACGAAGTTACTAATTCAAACGTGGATTTTCATTTGCAGAATCTACATAATTTAGGAATAAACTTTACCGAATCAAATTTCACGTATTATTGGGTTCATGAAGCATTTTCTTTTTTGTAAAGAATTCGGTTTCAATATTACATATTAAAAAGTCCAGAAACATCACAATAAATCTCATATTAACCCAATATTTGCTCGAAAGATAAAAAGAAACTCACCAAATAAAAATGCAGTTTAATGAAATCAATTAATTTATTAATGACTTCTGTTTGATAAAATAAATAATATTCCTATAAGGTGATTAGACTGTGGTTTAAAACTAATAGGATAGAGTTATTTAGCTTTCAAACGATTTCCAAAAGAGTAATGCAACGTCCTTTTAGTCAAAGAATTTTAAAACCTCGAATGATTATCCAATTTGTCAATGAAGAATAATTATAAGGTTGCAGCATAAATTACATGTTCTTTGATCACAGCAGGGCCATATCTATATTAACACAGATGATATATATGATATATATATCGATTCCTAACATCACTGAAGAGACATTAATTGTCGAAATCCGGATATGGTGTACAAATTTTTGCACCTCATGTTTGCGGTATACCATCTTTTCCGCAAGTTTATTGTTTTCTGTTTGGTAATAATTTGATAATAAGATCTGTTTTGTTACATCTTGTGATCCGTTTATTTGGCAATCGCCAATGGCAGTCAGCAGGGTTTAAGAACATCAGTTGTTCGACCTGCTAGTCAAATGCGTTTTGTTAAAATATACTTTTTCACTCATTTGGTCTTTTGGAAAATGTTGTTTGTGCTGTATTTAGACCCCTCTACCAAGAAATTTGTTTTGCATGCACACGTATAAAAATAGCGGTTTTTATCCAACGCAATCATAGGGTTTGAACGTTGTTTTCAATTTAGACTTGTATATATATATAAATATATATAAACATGTATATAGTGTCTAAAAATAGCAACAATCATAAATATATATATATATATATGTTATTGTAATTGATTTCGATAAATATTGAAGACAATTTTCAGTCTTGGCATTTAATGAAACAATAACTATAAACGATTACCCCAGCTTCACTGCTCACAATCATTAGAGTTTTCACTGCAGTTTGTAAACTTTCTTTACCGGCTTTTAACATGACTGCAGACTTTTCCTCGCAATATTTGTGGCAATACTTAAAAGGTTTTAATTATAAATGTCAATAATTGAATATCAATTTGTCAATATCCCATTATTATATACAAGTCTAGTGTTATGTGTCACGTATCTTATAAAAACGGGATTGT